CTGCTGTTCGTAAATGGACTGCACCCATCTGTCAAGACCCGGGTGCTGCGAGAGCACCCCACTGATCTGAGCCAAGCGATCAGGTCAGCGCAAACGGCGGACCAACAGCCGAACCCGATTCAGCACCGAAGTCAGCCCGTACGACCCCAAAGGCTAACACCGGAGGAGAGGCGTCACCTGAGTCGGCAGGGTGGATGCTTCGCTTGTCGGAAGCCAGGTCACCTAGCTCGGGATTGTCCCAGCAATCAACACCCAAACGCTGGTCGCCAGTGAAAAATGGCGTGCGCTCGCTGGCGACCAAGCGGAAAGCACCCAACGGTTACCCGGTTGACATACGCAACCGTTACAGCGTACTAGAGCTGGAAGAACCGACGCTGCAAGCTGATTCGGAAGATGTTGCCGAACAGGAATCCCATGTCAGCAACGTTGATATCGCAGTACAGGACACGGAGCTTCCTTTGGAGCATGACCTTCTCCGTGTTGAGGGCAGGATCAACGGCCGCCGGGCAATTATGCTTATTGACTCGGGATCGACGCACGACTTCATATCGGAAGCTTTCGTGCAAAGAAACGGCCTTGTTACGGAGAGCAAGGACGAAACACTGAAGGTAACCCTGGCTGATGGCTCATCGACATCATCGGAACTGCAGAGGACCGGTCCGGTAAAGGTTATCGTGAAGGACTTCAGCGACACCCAATCTTTCACAGTTTTTCCGTTGAGCCGCTATGATGCTATCCTGGGCAAGCCATGGCTGACCAGACACAACCCGGACATCAACTTTCAGACCAACGAAGTCAAACTGAACGGAGAGCCGCTCGTTGCTAAACCCCCTTCCGGCCAAAATAGTGATACGGAGCGTCAGGAGTCGCCGCCAATTGAGAGCATGCTCATATCTGGTTCTCAGGCTCGCCGCGAGTTGAGGAAAGGCGCGCAGGGAATCCTGGCGTGGGTCAACGCTACTGACGACGAGGAGGAGGACAGCAAGCCATCAGCCGCCAGACAACACCCAGATCATCAAGAGCAGCTGGCTAACCTTCTGCGGCGGTACTCGGACATCTTTCCAGACGACCTGCCGACCGAGCTTCCGCCAGAGAGGGATGTCGACCATGAGATTGTGACTGAGGAGGGTGCCGTTCCTCCATCACGGGCTGCCTACCGTCTCCCCAAACCCGAGATGGACGAATTGCAAGCCCAGCTCACGGAACTCCTCCGCAAGGGCTTCATCGAACCCAGCAAGTCACCATACGGTGCCCCAGTCTTTTTCGTTAAAAAGTCTGATGGCTCATTGCGCATGGTTTGTGATTGGCGGAATTTGAACAGGATCACCATCAAAAACAAAGCTTGCCTCCCAAACATTGATGACCTGTTTGATACCATTCAAGGTAGCTCATACTTCAGTAAGCTGGATTTACGCTCGGGATATAATCAGCTTAGGATCCGTCAGGAAGATGTACCTAAGACGGCTATCAATACTCCCTTCGGTCATTTCCAGTTCCGGGTCATGGGCTTTGGATTAACTAACGCCCCTGCCACGTTTCAGTCATTGATGAACAGTATTCTCCAACCGTACTTACGGCGGTTTGTGGTAGTGTTTCTGGATGATATTCTTATCTTCAGCAAATCCTGGCAAGATCATCTTGAACATATCCAGACAGTTCTTGAGACGCTCCGGAAAAATAGGCTATTCTGTAAGCAGTCGAAATGTGAGTTTGGTGTCAAGGATAGTTCATATCAGTCTTCCACTTCTAGCACGCCGTTTTATCTAAATTATGGACTTAATCCCAAGTCCCCACCAGATTTCCTGGCACGGAGGGGAGGAGGGAGTGCCCCAGACTGGATCCAGGATCGGGCGGATGCCGTCAAGTTGGCAAAGGACGCCATGATTGCCGCTCAGGCTAGACAAGCTCAGTATGCAGACAGGGGAAGGGTGCCCAGCAACCTGAAGGTTGGCGACATGGTGCTGGTGTACAAGGATTTCCTAACAACCGCAGAAGCCCGGGATCAGCCTTCACAGAAGCTACGCCCTAAGTGGTTCGGGCCCTACCCAATCATCAAGAAGATCGGACCCAACGCCTATCAGCTGGATCTACCCAGCGCTATTCGGTGCCACCCTGTCTTCAATGTCACTGCTCTGCGCCGGTACGAGCAGAATACTATTCCCGGCAGGCGGCAGCCACCCCCGCCACCGTTCACTGACTTGCACGGTCAGACCAGATACATGGTGGAGAAGATTCTTGACGATCGCCAGAGAAGGCATCAGACTCAGTACCTTGTCAAGTGGCAAGGGTACCCAGACGACGAAGCGACCTGGGAGCCAGAAGAGAACTTGCTGAACGAGGCCGGTAGGCCGATAGTTGCTCTGAGGCGTTACAGGGCGTCCAGGGCATGTTAGTGACACTATGGTTACAGCGAAATGTTACTCGCTCAAATTCAATTGCACGTGTACCTTGAGAATTCCCACTTGATCCTTGTTGTGTTAAGCAATCCATTCCCCTCCTGTTTTAGATTTTCCCCATTTCCGTTATCTTCACTCGCCTGACTGTCCTTGGTTACCTTGCACGGTGCTTCAATTAGATGAGCGTTGTTGGGTTGACACGATTTCATTTTGATTATTCCCTTTCCACATATTCCTCGACTCCCTGGAGGCACCTGTGCCTCGCTTAGGAGGGAGGGATGGTGTAACAGTTCCCTGTTAGCGCTAACCTTATCTGCCCTCTAGCTCTGTATCTTGCACCTTTCCCTATCCTGTCAGCACGCGCGTTATCACCTTAGGGCACTTCGTGCCCTATATCAGTTGTGTTGCCTTGAGCAAGCATTGTCTTTTCCAAGAATACCTTCAAACGGTTACAGCGACGGCCTCAGCTTGTGTACGTCTGCTGGCATACAACGTCATGTCGTCAGCGAACATCGGGAGCTTGCAAGAAAAGGCCTCTGCTGTCAATGGGAGCTTCCGTACATATAAGTTAAATAGCACCGGACCCAGAATGGTGCCCTGTGGCACGCCACTAGTGATTGCCACCAACGGAGATGTTCCAGTGTGGGTAACCACCCGCTGTTGTCTGGCACAAAGGTATGATCGGAACCAGGCCAGGGCCACTCCCGAAATACCGACAGCTGCGAGAGCAAGAAGAAGCTGTTGATGCTTCACCATATCGAACGCTTTTTTCAAATCAATACAGACAACCGCCGTATGCAGTCCAGCGTCGCGCGAGACAAGCCAGTCGTTCGTAACCTTGGTGAGAAGCTGTCCGGTAGAACGGTGCTTCCGAAAGCCAAACTGGTCCACATGGAATGGGCAACGATCATTAAAAAAAAGATGTATACGAGAAAACACAAGCCCCTCCAGGAGCTTGGCTAGGATAGATGTTAAAGACACTGGGCGGTAGTTAGAAGGGCAGTCGCGGGGGCCTTGAGTTGACTTCGGAATTGGTGTAATGTTTGCAATTTTGAACAAGGATGGGAATTGACCAGACGAGAGGGAAGTGTTGAATAAGATAGCAAGTGATAGAGCAATTACGTCTTTTGATATTTTAAGTAGACACGGAAGAATGCCGTCCGGTCCAGGGGCTTTATTACTTTGGAGGTCACCGATCCGAAGCTTCACCTCTGCTACTGTAACGGCTGAAAACGTAGTAAGGTCGTCGGATTTAGCAGGTCCCATTGGGAGCTTGTAATTCGCTTCCTTATCTGTGACAATCGAGTGAAAATAGTCGTTCAATAGCTCAGGTGGGATGGTAACCGTTTGCTTCGGAGAGGAACGCTTTGTGATCATATTCAAGGCTTTCCAGAACTGCCGAGGCTCCCGTTCATACCGCTGGCACTGGTCTGAAAAGTAAAGATTCTGTAGGTGTCGATACAAGTTATTGCACTGGTTGCGCAGCCGCTTGAATTGTACAGATAGGCTCTCGTCTCGAAAGTTAGTAGCTTTTAGTTTCTTGAAGACCGATTTGCGCTTTCTAATCAAGGCAAGGAGGGGCGAGGTCATGAACGGGCAATTTTTCCGACGGGACTTCCTGTGTTTCCTGGTTACGTACGGTGCGATGATATCAAGCACAGCATTGACTTTCCCTGTCCACTCGTCCAACATCAGGTCTGGGGTACGGGATGTAAAGATATGAAGATCGGAGGACAGCAGCATATCGCAGAAACGCTGAACGTTGAAGTTCCGGTAGTCTCTGCGTGTTTGATGGGTAGTAGTATTGCTCCGCGCATCCATGATGGCTTCACTCAGCGACCATGGTGATTGGTTACCATGGTGATTGGTTCTTCTCTTTGAAGTGCTATGTGTTGTTGGTCTTTTGTGTACTTCGCATCTCTTCGCCAGTGGTTTGTTGGGTTCAAGTTAGTTGCAGGGAGGAAGGGGGGGGGGGGTATCGAAGTGACATACGTTCAGAAAGAGAGAAGGAAGAGGCACTTTGATGCAGGAAACACTGTAACTGATATCCCACAGGAATGCAATGTTATGTAGAAAATGGAGAAGTGGCTTGTGTATGGTTCTACAGGCACACCCAGTTTCTTGACTGGTCCGTTGCCAAGGGAAATTTACGGCTCGGTGTCATGAGCATTTCACTTTGGTTCAGTGTTGTTGCCTTCAATTTAGGGATTGTGTTCGGGAATGTAGTCTTATTCTCTTGTCTCCTGAAAGAGAAGGATAGTTCCTTTTGCTTGTGTGCATGCGTGTTTTGTGTGTGTGTGTGTGTGTGTGTGTGTGTGTGTGTGTGTGTGTGTGTGTGTGTGTGTGTATGTGTGTGTGTGCATGTGTGAGGAACGTTATGTGTGTATGTATTTTGTGCGTGTTTGTGGGAGTATCTGTATGTAAGTGTATGTGTGAGTGTATGCGTGTATATGTGTGCGTGATATGTAGATATTTCGTTCTGGTTGGCGTCAAGTTGCCTGTCCGCGTGAAGAGCTCGCTGTGTTTCTCACGGTTCGAGTAATCTGACTTTGCTGTTCTGAAGCCGATTATCATACATGTACATTATGTTTTGTTGTCCACCAGACATCACTGCGATCAGTTCGGCCGAGTAACTCTGAGCTTCGCTGATGAGACCTAACAAGGTCAAAACGGCTAGCTGTCCGGAGATTGAGTACGACGACACCTGTAGTGATAGCACATGCAAGCTGCTATTCACCCTTGTCTGGAGATTA